TTTGTTGTCTTTATGTGGTTGAGATTTGCAACCACTCAAGAATTACGAAAGAAATCAAGTCTATTTTGATACCGGAGGGAATAAATGGACATTTTACCATAAATATTGGGATGCTCTTCAATCCTTAACCAACAAGAAAAACATCCTAATTATATCCTACGCACTAAAAAAATAAAGAATAAACTAAGGTAGCAACCTTAAAATGTAGAATTAAGGTGCACGTAAAAAATCTATGGTTGTTTTAATGTAAATCATGTAATCGATCATCTCAACATCGCGATGTATATATGAATAGGACATAAGAAAAAAAGATTTGGAGTCCCAAAAGTAGTGGATCTTGAAACATATTATTTGGACAGTTTATTTTCATGAAAAATTCAAGATTTTATCTGCTCTATGTAAACTATTTTTGGAGTTTAAAATTTTATAGTCAGAGATTAAAATAGACTTTCGTGCCATCTTAAAAGAACTTTATATCAAAACTATACTTAAAGAGCTATTTACATATGAATCTCGATGCTCGACTCACATCCATGTGATTCGTGCAAGAGGTCTTACCTATTTGTTTGATGTAAGCATGTAAAGTGCAAATGCGATAGAAGCATGTTGTGCTTGGTGTGCACTTGTACATATTTACTTCTTTTCAAAAAATAATTATACAAAAAGTGTGTAAAGTGAAGACATGTCTTAAAGATCCATCAAAAAAAAGTTACGTTGATGTTGAAAAATATTTCAATTGATTGTGTTTCAACTTTGTTATGTTGATGTTGAAAAATATTTCAATTGATTGTGTTTCAACTTCGAGATTTATGGACATGGATTTCCGGCCTTTTGGTGCATCTTGTGACACATTACTTGGATCATCTATTTCACATGTGTATAGTTCGGTTTGATTTGTACTATTTTTAGAGTTTTAAATTTCATTAGTGGATGTGAAATAGATTTTCAAGTCTTCAATTTTCAGACATCAATATTACATTTTTTTCTTTATGAAGTTTAGAGCTACACTTGCTTCGATCATTTAAGGTTGACACTTTATGCAACCACCCAATAATCATCTAGTGATTCTTAGATAGTAAAAATTCAGACAAAGTAATTCCCTCGAGTAATTCTTGATTCTCAGGTGGGTTCCAAAATTTTATGACAAAACAAGTAGCTCGTCACGGGGAATTATAGCCCTTTTGTCTGAAGATAGCCTAGGAGCATGCCACACGACTCTCAAAACCCTTGCAAAATTTTAGGCACAAGGCATTTCCTTAAGTTTGCCAATCTAATCCCCAAGGCGAGGCATTTCCAGACTTTGGTTTCTCGAAAACTCGTGTAAACATGCAGTAAAGTAAAATAATAAATGAAATTGCAAGCAGTCAATAAATAAAGAAAATTTACTCAAGGAACACCTTAAAATTGTAGAATTAAGGTGCACTTCTAAAATCTTTCGAAAAAAGTTGTTCTGGTGTTGGGGAGATATAAATATGAAAAGCAAAAATATTTCAAATATTAAAAATAGTACATCTTGCATCACTTTTTGATAGGGTGTACCATTAACAGTGATGCATGAACCTTTGGAAGACAAATCACTCTTTGGTGAATGAAAAAACTGTGTTAAGAGAAGCCAAAATGGGTCCTATTGTAGGCTTCAACTTCAAAGTCCCTAAAACTAGTCAAAATACAAAACAGAGCAACAAATAGGTGCTCTCAAACTTAAGATTTCATAAATTAGCAGAGAACCAACCAACCCAAATTTCATTTGGGCCTATCTAACCTTTACCTATTTGACATTGAATCAGGCCTTTTCAATAAAAAAATTATAACATAATTAACATATAACTTTATGAAGAGGCACATGAAAGTATGGGAGAAACTGCGGCCTCGAAATCCTTGTAAAACTTTTCCTCTGAAAACCTATTCGCTCTCTTCCTTGCAGCCTCTGCAATTCTGCATCGTTCAGGCTCGGGCATTTTTATGATGTTATGGATGGCATCTGTATATTCTGCCACTTCCTTAGCCAAAAATCCAGTCCTTTGTCCATCTTCTTCAACCACAATATCCATCATTGGACCAGCTGAGTTGTGGGCTAGAAAAAAGCAAAAAGCGAGAAAATCGAGATTTAAGAAAATAAGAACCATATTAACAGTAATAATAACAAGAGTTTCGACATACCACCACAGTGAACTTTGTTACCAACAAGAGAGAGAGACAAAAACTTAGTTTTGCATCCTATTACAAGTTTACTTCGAGTTGGCCTAATCATTTGTCATGGACATGAAAAAATGCATATTATGCTCAACTATGAACTAAAATTACAGCCATTAAATTGTTGCTGCAACCAAAAAGAACACGCATTTTTTAAATGCTTCTCTCACATTTGCGTTACAAAGTGAAGGAAACAAACCCCAACCATAACCACTTTGAAATATAGAGTTGCTTTAATGAGAGTCCAAAAAATATTTTGATGGGCATCGACAAATCTCACAACACGTGAAGTTATAAACCAAATCCCTATAAATGCGATACACCCATTAAAAATTAGAGACCAACCAATTGGAACGGCACCAGCAGCCATGTATTCTACAACACTTATCCCGAAATGCTCATCTATCATGGAATGCAACCCCGCAGCAGCACCACCCAGAAGTTCAACCAAATCCCTGCTTACAACATCCAACCCTTAAAAACATTAGGATCAACAGTGACGACATACCTGTATTGTCTTGAGACACCACTGACATTAAATGCTGCCGAAACAACAAAATGTAATATTCTTTCGAAAAGGATCACATTTTCTCTTCATCTTTGAGAAGGATTTCATTCCAAAATCCAACTAACTAGTTATTTTTTATTTACTAGGGGACAACTATTAGTGGAATTTCCTTCATGACAACTACGTGAATTGACAATTAAAATGGTTTCATGTATGGAATTATGATGAAATTGAATCAAGAAAAACATTAAGGAAAGACACCACGGTTATAAATCCTAAACTAAAAGGAACAAATGGGATCATCAAAAGACGTGACAGTTATGAGTATCACCCAAATTAAAGCGCACACCCCAAGCAAAAATGAATGAACAGTTGAAGAACCATAGAAGAGAAAGAAAACATATTACACACTGGTAATCACAATAATTGAGAAAAAAGCAATGAAGTACATAGAGACATTCCTAGAGACAACGCTCATAAAGAAAGAATTCCCTAGTAAAACTATTGCAATGCACCTTTGACCAGTTCATATCCTTCTTTCAAAGTGGCAGATCACAGCAAGGCCAGAGGTAAAAGGGTTTGAAAAAAGTTTGAAAACTATGAGAAATTTGGGGATAAAGGTGGGTTTGCATAACATTTCCTCAAATGTTTTTGCACATAGCTCACCATTGCAAACTCTCTATGTATTCTCAGCTGATTTAACTCCCAAAATTTTCCTCCTAAGTGATTCAAATTTTTCATATGGATATTCTAGTTGGTTACATCAAGCTTAAGACATGGAAAAGGAGTGTTCCATGAGAACAACAGCTGAAAATTAAAACAAAAAAATATCAAGGGGCTTAAATATGTTTCTGGGGATAGTTAAATGCCACAAACTATGATCAAAGAGAGGGAAGAGCCAAAAAAGAACTAGTCAGGTAGATTGTTCATGTTCAATGGGAAAAACAGCTGAAAATTACATCAAAATAGATCAAGGGGCTTAAATATGTTTCTGGGGATAGTTTAATGCCACAAACTATGATCATAGAGAGGGAAGAGCCAAAAAAGAACTAGTCAGGTAGATTGCTCACCAAATATATCATATTGAAGCTTCTAAGATATTATGTCTCCAGTTATATTTTTTTGAATATGTTGACTGTATTAAGCTAAAAGTGAGTAAAGACTGTGTGAAGAGAGAGGGATAGGATACCCACAACACTGGCTCATCCCAAAAAAATAGGCTACCCTCAAACGCGTGCCCTATACAAAAACCATGGGTAGGCAAAAAAAATGCTTTACATTGCTGAATTGAACCATTAGGGAGATCAATTCCAAACTGTGATGGAGAAACCAAGCACAAAACAGTTCCATAGTGGTGCATCAGATTGGCATGAGACACGGTTGAGGCTACCTTGGCTAGGGAATCAGCCTCACCATTTGCCTCTCCAAATGTGATTCCATGAGATTTGTAGGGTCCTTGTGAGTTGACAGATCTCCTTGAATATACTGTCCAGCCTCCAAGACCAGGGGGAAGAGCCTGAGGCCCAGGTTATTACACTGTAAGAGTCACCTTCGATGATTACTGAATGCCCTCAATTAGTGTCTAATTTCTGAGGTCGCCCCGGAGAGCTGAGGCCTCCGCAACTATTGAATCTGAGATACCTATAGGAATAGAAAGGTGTTGCTGTTGAGGTTGACCTATGCTTGCAAGGCCAGGATTCCGAGAGAACACCCGTCAAAGTTAAGTTTAATTTAGCCTACTCTGGGTGGTCTCCAAAGGGAAAAGCGAGGGGGGCCTCTGAGGTTTAAAGGAGAGAATGCAAGTCCAATTGTGGAGAAAATCAGAGTGGCAGATATTTCTGAAGTGCTTGTGGTGAGTAGCCCAGAAAATGACAACGGCTGTGATCTTTTCTACTAGAGCATCCAAAGAAGATTTTTGGCTTCGATATTTTCTGGCATTTCTCTCTGTACAGATTGTCCAAAGAGTGGCAGCCACCAAAGCCTGCCACAGCAGTGTGCCAGCCTTAGGCCAGGGGGTTGAGAAAGTTGAACTGAGGAGATGAAGGACATCAGGTGGAGTTACCTACTGCCATTGGAATAACTGAATGATATCAGCCCAAATGGACGAGGCTAACTTGCAGTGGATGAACAGGTGGGCATTGCTCTCCTCATCTTCAGTACACATTATGCATCTGTTTGGGATTTGGAGTCCCCTTCTTTGTAATTGATCCGCTGCGAGGGCCCTCTCGGATGCAGCTATCCAATTGAAAAATTGAATCTTGGGGGGGGGGGACTAGAGGCATCCAAATTTTGTTCACAACAGAAATGGGAGAATCGGCGGGGCTTTGGGGGTGGGCTAGAGAGGAGTAGAAGGAGGCCACCGAGAAAGATCCCAAGTGGTTCGGGATCCAAATCAAACTGCCTTGGCCCCGGTGAGGCAGGAAAACAGAGTAAAGAGTATTGGAGAGAGCTGTGAAGTCCTGGAGTTCAACGTCCGAAAGGGGTCTTCTGAGGATGGGACTCCACACCCTCCTAGTGCCCATCAGCTGGAATTGGGACTCGACAGTTGCATTAAGGTCACAGGCCACCAATAATAGGCTCGGATAGAGATCTTTAAGGGGTGCAGTCTCCAGCCAACTATTGATCCAAAAGAGAGTTTTGTCGACCTGCCTAGGCCTGTACCTGATCTTGGACTGAAAGTGTGGGTATGAGTGCAGTATGGATTTCCAGATCCCAGAGGAGTTGCTATGAGCTCGTCGAGAGGGGACCCAAGAGGGGTTAGAACTGCGGTATTTAGAGATGGTTGTTTTGGGTAGCTAAACACCAGCACCATTTTCCAAGTAGTGCAAGGTTATTGTCTTTGAGGTTGCGTATGCCCAACCCCCCCTAGAGATTTAAGTTTGCAGACATTATGCCAAAAGATGATATGGATTTTCCTTTCCCCATTACTAGACCACAAAAAATCTCTCATAAGCTGCTCCAAACAGTGAGCCACCGAGGCTGGCATATGGAATAGTGACATCTGAAAAATACGTATGCTCAAGGGTGGCTTTTATCAAGGTAAGACGACCAGCCGGGGATAGAAATCTTCGATCATATTTATCTATGATATGGCTCCAAAGGTTCAGTCTAGGCTTTCCTATGCATAGGGGCAGTCTCAGGTAGGAGGACGGCAATTCCTCCAAAGAACAGCCCCAGTTCTATGCAGAAGTTCTCACGATGGATCAGTCCATGGCCACACCACTTATCTTTAGATTTGACCTTATTAACCCTAATGCCCGTTGTCATCTCAAATAATTTGAGGAATAGATGGAGGGTGTCAAGTTGCACTTGGGATGCCTCACAAAACAACAAAGTGTCGTCAGCGTATAGAAGGTGTGTTATCAACGGTCCAGAGTTGCTGATTTTGAAGCCTTTGAGCAAGCCGGCCTGGTATACATGAGAGATTGATCTGCTGAAAATTTCAGCTACAATCGCAAACAAAAAGGGGGAAAGAAGATCACCCTGGCAGAGTCCCCTAGAGGAGGGAAAGAAGCCTTTGGGGAAGCCATTGATTAGAATGGAGAAGTGAGGACCTGAAATGCAGCCTTTGATCCAAGTTCTCTACTGAACACCGAAGCCCATACGATGGAGGGTCTCGTCAAGGATGGACCAATAGACATGGTCGTAGGATTTTTCCCAATCGAGTTTGATAATTAATCCGGGTAGCTTGGCACGATGCCAACAGTGGATGGCCTCATGGGCAACAAATGCTCCATCGAGAGTTTGTCTTCTCTTTAACAAAAGCTCCTTGAGTTGGCGAGATGACCGAACTAAGGACCTCTCGCAGTCTAGAGGTAAGAACTTTGGCAAGAATCTTGTATGAGCTATTGATCAAACTGATTGCTCTATAGTCTTTGAGTTCCTCAGCTCCCTCGAGTTTAAGAATAAGCACAATGAAGGTAGCATTCATTGCGCAATGAATGATCCCTCTAGAATGGAATTCGTGGAAGAAGGTGAGAAGATCCTCTTTTAAAAATTCCCAAAAGTTCTTAAAAATGGCAATCGGGAATCCGTCAGGACCCGGGGCACGATCTTGGCCAAGATCAAAGATTGCCTTTAGGATATCAGACTCCTCAATGGCCCACTCAAGCCAAACAGCAGCAATGGGAGTAATTGTTTGGAAAGAAAGGTCATCCAAAAAGGGTCTAGGGTGTTGGGTGCCTCCGGAAAATATCAGTGATTGCATCTTCGATCACAGGTGCCTGAACAACCACAATATCACCCACTTTAATCTGGGTAATAGTATTGTCCCTTCTTCTATAGTTGGCTATTTTGTGGAAAAAACCGGTGTTGAGGTCACCATGTTTAAGCCATTTCACTCTTGATCGCTGGGCCCAGAATATTTCTTCTTTCTTTAAGAGAAGTTGGAGCTCAAACTTGGCATTGGATCAAAGAGATCTCTCAATTTCTGCAAGGGGACGGAGCTCAACGGTAGAGTCCCACTGTTGCATCGTGTGGAGAAGAGTAGCCTTTTGGGACCCAAAGCTTCCTGGCAGTTGGGTTCTCCAAGCTTTGAGGGACCTTTTAAGGCATTGAAGTTTCTTTTGGAGTCAATACCCTGCCCAGCCATGGACTTGCCTAGAGAAGGAGGTCCACCAAGTCTGAAAAAGGTAGTGAAGTTATCCTCTTCTAACCATGCCAACTCAAACCTGAATGGTTTGGAAGTGCGAAGGACTGGAACAATGTCCAACAATATTGAGCAATGATCCAAAGTGGCTTGGGGAGGGCAAGGGAATGAGATCCAGGAAATTCAGCATCGCAGTCCAAAGAGATAAGAAATCGATCCAGTTTTGAAAGAGTGGGGTTGATGGAGTGGTCTGACGAGGTGGAGGCTCCATGTAGAGGAAGGTCTATAAATTCTAACCTTGAGAGAAGATCTGAAAATTCCGACATCGATTGGGAGACCATCGGGTTGGAGTTACGCTCGAAAAACCATCTTGTAGTGTTGAAATTTCCACCAATACACCAACAGTGGGAAGAGGCCAGAGCCTCTCAATTCAGTTCCTCCCAGAAACAGAGTCTAATTCATGAGGAGTTGGGACCATAAATGGCAATGAATTTCCAAGGAAAGGAATCAGAAACTCTCAACAGGGAGATGGATACCGAAACCTCACCAACTCTAGAGGATAACAAGTTGTGGATGGTTGGATCCCGGATGACCCAAATACCACCCGATGCCCCTTGGGCATCTAAAGCAACCCATTGACAGGGTCTAGAATCCCAAACCTGTCGAATGAGAGAGAGAGAGAGAGAAGGGCCAACGAATTTTGTTTCAACCATGACTAAGACAGGGGGAATGAGAGGAAGCAAAGTTTAGGACATTACCGCGTTTTCGGCGATTGTCCAACCCCTGATGTTCTACGTCAAAATCTTCATAAGGGCGGCACGAGTTTGGATGATCGCCGCGTTGAGGTGAGATCCAAAGAGGTCCCCTGATCACTAGCGACTGTTTGCCCATAACTGACCCCAAAATCCAGATTGGTAAGCTCTTGTTTGCCTTTAGTCGCGTTCTTGGAATGGAGTTCTTGATCAGAAAAAATGAAGGCTTTGAGAGCCTCATGGGGTCCATTCTAGCCCACACCCATGACCTTCATTACAGAGTTGATATCCCCCTAAGCTTTATCCATGTTGTCTACAAAAGTAGATCCAACAAAAGCGGGAGAAGGCACAGACGCAGACTCATCGGATGATGTTAAGCAAATATCGAAAAAATAATTGTTACAGAAAAAGAGAGTGGACTATGATATGTTCCCTTCTTTTATATCCATGTTGACATCAAACATTTAAAATGTTTTCTTTTGATGTTTCCTGAATTGGATAGATTTTCTTAGAGGTATTTTGATTAAGATTTATCATTTTCATTATTTGTTGCAGATGGGACTTATCTTGCTTAGATTGCCTTCCCAAGCATATGTCACTCACATCCATCTGCTTTTATAACACTCTGAATGACATGGCAAAGCAATGCAGTGAGGCCCAAGGCCTCTTTCCTTTATTCAGGGAAATAGTAGGTTTCAACTCCACAACTTCTACAACCTAAGACTGTTTTCTTTAACTGCACAAAGATCCCTAGAACTCACAAAAGAAAGCATTTTCAACAATTAAATCTAAAACATGATTGCCCTTTTTGAAAAAGTACAACAAGAAGTGATTTGCAATTGAATGCCAAAAGGCACCCAAGACAAATTTGGTCATTGGGTATTCATTAGATTATTTGGGTTGACCAGTCCTGTTGTATTCTTGGGATTGTATAGACGATCACGCTCACTCCTAGCCATTGGAATGGAAATCGGGTTGTTAAGGTTGTGCCACAAAGTTCAATTAAATTTTTATTGGACTTCCGATACAATCAATGGCCCGCCCCCAGTTGTCCTGTTTCATATCTAACGGGTACGGGCGATTGTAATCTTCCTACACTAAAAGAAAATTATCACATTATATACTTCCCCTCCTTTGAATGCCATCAATATTTTGAAACTGAACTGATCGGCAAACAGGTCACCATCCTGCTCAGAACAGCCTCAATTTACCAGGGTCCTTTAGTTGGATAAATTTTAAAAAATAAAAAGGTTTGCTTAGAACTGGTGGGAACCTAGGCAGAACCAAGGACGTTAGACCCAGATCAGTACCCTACTTGTTCCAAGCTGGCTCAACGATTTTAAGAACGCTAGATATTATGGTCATTTGAATATGATAAGTACTTGTTTTTTGGTATATGTATTGTGTTTATTAAAGATAAGGGAGTATATGCATGGCCAAAAATCCAACAAACAAGTTGGGAGAAGCTTAGGGGCCAAGACATATCTAATATTTACTTGACTAAGGATTTGGCTAAAGGACAAATGAAACATAATGGTAATATTTTTTTAAAATAAATAAAAATCGTAGTTTGACAATTAGAAGAAGAGGCGCCAGACTGTGGATTTGAAGCTGTTTGGAGCTGCTAATCACTTCTCCAGAAGAGACACTTTTAAAGCCCCTCATTCATACACAGACGAGGGGCAAATGAATGACACTTTTAAAGCCCCTCATCCAGAAGAGACACTTTTAAAGCCCCTCATTTGGATGATGGTCCAAATGAATACCATCAAATTTTTTTCTTTCGTATATGAAAATCTTTGATTTCCCATCCCATTCATAGGCCATTTTAAATTGACGGCGGGGAATTTTGAGAGAGAGAGGGAGACTCCTATTTTCACTGCAACTAAAGAACGCTACCATGCACACCATCATTCCATTGCTACCAAAATAAGACCTTCAACACCACCTTTTTGCTAAAATGCCATGATCAGCACCACTGCCATATGTGACTATGGAGGTCTCAGTGTTGATGGCTCTCTTTCTCTCTAAAGGAACAATTGATGACTGGTGCCTCACTAGTTTTTGGTGCTTAGGGCTAAGAAGACTTTCCCCATAAACAGGTAAGTTATGGTTACTCGTTACCCATTAAAAAATGGAAATACGATTGGAAAGTTTTTCTTCTGTTTTTTCCCTCAAATTAGTTTAAAACACAGTAACCGAAAAGAAAAGAAAACAATGAGAGGGGAAAACGATATGGGAAAGAGACACATATGGTATATAGCTCATTTAACTTTTTTTAAGATATCTAAATATTCACATTTGGTAACTAGGATTAGGTTATTCTTGAATAACAATGAAACCTTGATTAGCTAAGAAATTGGAAATGATCCATCTATGGCCGGCAACTTCTATTTATGTTTGGGTAGTTTTTGAATCACTTTGAGCGCAGATGTCCGAATCCTGTTTAAGTTAGAGTTTATGTTTTGAAGCGAACAATCTCCACGGTGGGTAACTATTTATTTGAATCTTGTGACAGTCAGTGAACTTGTTATCCTCACATGTGAAAAACGCAGAATGAAGGCGATCAGGTTACATCCCAACGTTTGATGACTACACACATTACAGTTTCGGCTGAAGCATGTATCATGAGCACCATGTTCTTGATAGGGGAGAAAGTATCCGATGAAGCTCTGGAATTTATAGGTCCTCACTCAAGGCTGCTCTATCTGGTAGGCTTAGTTTGCCACCTCCACAATGACATTGTTACAATCAAGAGAAAGTCGAGGCAGGGGAATATGGCAACAGCCATTGCCTGTTATATGAGGGACCACCACCCAATTGCACCCAAGAGCAGGTAGTTTCCCAGGTGAGAGACCTAATTGCCTCAAGTGAGCATAAAATAGGGGGGAGCTGCTCAAGTGTAAAGGGGTTGCTCCGGATTGCTGCACTTAGCTTGTTGCCAATGTCGCAAGATTTACGAGCCCCCTTTATAAGCAGGCAAATGGTTTTCGGGACAGATTGGATCAAGACTTCGAGAAGTTGCTCAAGGATTTTTACAACAAATCTCTTCCATAATATGAAAATTAGAATTATGTTTAGATGGACAGTTTGGATAGGATGCAAGGTTGGTTTCATGAATTGGAAATTATTAGTAACATGGTTTACAATTCCTAGCTATGATAATGTAGTGATGAATAACCTCAGAGCATGCGTATTGTATCTGCAAACTTTCAAGGATCCTTTCAAGTATCTGTGGACTTTCTAAATGACTCGTTGGGTAATATCTTGGCATTATACAAGTTGTTAAGATTAAACAATTGAGATCATGGGAGGCAGTTGTGTACATATATAAGGATATAAGGATATAATTGAGACAAGGGCATCCTCAAAGGATAGGGACTTCACAATAAATTCATGACAAAGTACTTAAAATAGATTACTGAGAAGCCTAAATCCAAGTGACCTCTATATAAATAAATCATAGCAAAGAAATTATTTAAATCAGTTTGCGAAGTAAATAACAGAATATGACTATCAAATAATCATGTTACCCATTGTTCTATAAAGTAGTGGACAGAAATACATAGTAAAAATGGTGAGTTTAAGCATGCCTGTACATCAAATCTTCATAGAACTCCACATCCTTTTCTAACCCCAGCTCGATGCACCTTCTCTTCAATTTGGACAACCTCTCTTTGTCTTCCTTGTTTCGACTACTACCCACAAACTGAAGCTTAGGTCTAGGATATTCCAATTCAAGTTTGTTTATGGCATGTGAAAATGCCTCGAGTTGAAGACTGTGAGCCTAAAATAAAGCAAGATCTAGCTCAGTCAGCTTTGGCAAATAGAAGATGAGCTTATGGTGGATAACTAACTTCAAATACAAGCACCTAATGGACTATGGGAACAGTATGATATAATCCAGCAAACTAAGGTATACTCACAGTCCATTGGGTCATCACCCTCAATGAAGTATTGGAGGGAATTGAAGACAGTGGGACCAAATGGTCACCTTCTGTCATTGGCACATTGCACTGGATAGTCAAATGGTGATGATCCCAACAGATAACAGTTTTTAACAGTCCATTGGATTATACTATGCTGTCCCGTTTGTTATTATTTGCCACGGTATTCAATAAATGTCACCTTTTCAGGACGAAACTGAGCAACGGATATAAATTTCCTGATACTATCTGGCCTCTCCAATGGAAGCACCTGTATGGTTCAGACGTCTCATCAATATTCCATACCAAAACTCATACTCCCTGAAGGTTCAAAATACAAGGGAAAAGATGCAAGATTTCTCGAGATACACAGAATGACAATTAAAAATATAAAACCCAACGAAGCCAAGTGAATAATAGAATAGGCAATTCCAAATGTGCAACAATACGGAAAATCACAGAATTCTCAATAATTTAGTAAAACACTAAGGAGCCTCAGAATGGCAATTTAACCATCCTGAAAAACGTTGCAACACCTTAGCAGTAGGCAATCGCAAAACCTGAACCTGTTGAGTTCAATGATCTGAAATCAATTAGTTTATGCAAATTGCTAAATATATCATGATGTAAGATCCACACACTGAACATGGAGAAAAATTAACTTGTCATTCATGATTGAGTAATAGAGACTTAACTTTGAAGATGTAAAATATTAATATAGCTTTAAGTTGTATAGGCTTTCAATTCACGAGATTCTGATTTTCCTGACCTCAGTTTCCCCACCTAATTAATTATCAAAAGTTAATAAATGATAAAACTCCCATGTCGTAGTTGCTAATACCAGAGATATAAATTTCACTCCAATGAGCCATAAAGAGGGCCTCTAATTATGCATTAATCTTTCCGAGCTTAGTAGCCATAGGTAGCTAGTAGGGAAATGACCAAGCCCCCCATAAAAACTCATGGATCAAATATCCCCTTGCACTTTTTGTGGGGACTTTCTATGCCCTACCCCTTTAGATTAGTGCCAAAGACCCCCCTTACGTACAATTTAAGGGGTTTGTATATTTTTCATTCATAGTTATGCCATCTGGTCTCTCTTCTCTCTCTCCCCTGCCAACACTCTCCTCCTCATAGTTTTTATTAACAATTATGTCCATCCTCTCACTAATACAGGGAAAAATAATAAATAAAAAATAAAGACAAAAAATAAATAGGTGAGAGAATATACCTTCTCTCAGGTTTGCAAGGAAGTCCACTCCAAAGATCTCTTCACAAGATCAAACAATTTATTTACTCTCAAATTAACCAGTTCTCAAAGTGGGACTTCTTCCCTTTAAATCATCATCATCATCGTCAAAGCCTTTTTCCAACTAATTTGGGTCGGTACATGAATCCTAGTCCGCAATTCTACTCTATTAAGGGTCATACTCTCAGTGAAGCCATATGTCCCCATATATTTTCTCACTACTTCCAACCATGTCCTTTTGGGCCTACCCCTTACCCTTTTTTAGCCTTCCACTTGAATTAACTCGCACTTCCTAACAAGTGTTGTACTAGGTCTGTGCCGCACATGACCAACCCACCTAAGTCTACATTCTCTCATCTTATCGCCTATTGGTGCCGCACCTAAATTCTCCCGAATGTATTCATTTCGAATTCTATCCCTTCTTATATTGCCACTCATCCATCTCAACATCCTCATCTCAGTTACACTCATACTATGGGTATGTTGTTTCATGACCGCCCAACATTCCGCCACATAAAGCAAAGCCGGTCTCACAGTTGTCTTATAGAACTTGTCTATCAGCTTCATTAATATGCGGCGATCACATAAAACTCTGGTGGCACATCTCCACTTTGCCTACCCAGCTCTAATTTTATGTGTGACATCTTCCTCAATCTCACCATTTTTCCAGATTATCAAGCCAAGATATCGAAAGTGAGCTCATTTTGGTATTTCTTGACAGTCAATCTTAATTACATCCTCGTCTCTACTCTTATTTTTACTAAACTTGCATTCCATATGCTTTATCTTAGCTCGGCTAATTTTAAAACATTTAGATTCTAGAGCATCCCCCAAAGTTCTAACTTTGTGTTGACACTGTTTTGAGTCTCATCGATCAAAACTATGTCGTCCACAGTACTTTATCTTGTAGGTGCCCTGTTAAGTCGTCCGTAACTACGACAAAGAGATATGGGCTCAATGCTTATAGACCTATGTTACTGAAAATTCACTTGTCTCTCCACTAGTTGTTTGTACACTAATTATCGCCCTCTCGTACATATCTCTCACCAAGTCAATGTAGTGCCTAGAGACTCATTTCTTTTCCAACAACCACCAAATCACATATCAAAGTACTCTATCATAAGCTTTCTCTAAATCAATAAAGACCATGTGGAGGTCGTTACCCTTTGCCCTAAACTTCTCAATCAGTTGCCTAAGTAGGAAAATAGCCTCAGTTATTGACCTCCCTGGCAAGAAACTGAATTGGTTTTCTGATACTTTTTTCATGCTTTAATCATTGTTCAATCACTCTCTCCCACAGCTTCATAGTGTGGCTCATAAGTTTGATCCCTCGATAGTTCGCACAATTCTCTGTCTCTTTTGTTCTTGTAAATGGGTACCACAATACTTTTCCTCCATTCATCTGGCATTTTTTTTGTTATCAAAACCTTGTTGAACAGCTTGGTCAACCAGTCAATGCCAATCTCTCCCATGCACTTCTAAAACTCTATCGGGATATCAGCTGGTCCTAAAGCCTTTCTTATTTTCATCCTCTTCAAAGCTTCTTTCACTTCCGATATCCTAATTCTACGAATGTATCTATGATCTCCACCCTTATTTATGCTAACGCTTCCTTCTACTGCTATGCTCCCATTGTGTTTTGTCATTTAATAATTTTAAAAAAAACTCTCCACCTTTTGTTGACATCTTCATCCTTCACCCTTCGATCCTCACTCTTAATGCAATTAATATGGTCTAGATCCCTACACTTTTTTTTCTCTCATTTTTGCTATTTTAAAGACATCTTTTCTCGCTCTCAGTTTACAGCATAGACTATCATAGGCCTTAAGGTTAGCCTTGCTTACTATTTGTTTAGTAGTTTTCTTAACATTTTTATATTCTTCTAAGTTTTGATCATTTCTATTACATTACCAAGTTTTATAACATGATCGTTTTTCGCTAATAGCCTTATGAAGTTCATCACTCCACCACCAAGTTTCCTTTAAATACAAACTAAACATAAATAATAAAAAAATAAAAACCACAAAATAAACTCCCTCTCTCTCCCATGTTTGTATTCTCTTTCTCCTCTCTCAATCTCGTGCCATAATCATACTTCTAATCACGTAGACATCCTTTTAACTCTCCCATATCTCTATTCATTTGAATCCCTTAATTTAGGAAGCCCTGACCTATCTCATGCACCACCTAATCTTCTACCTTTAAGAAAATATATCCTAACTAACTCCCATAGAAAATTTCTTATTCTACCCATCAAATCTCTAGAACAACAAAAAAGACAAAAATTACCCTAAAGAAAACTAAAAGCCAAAGAAGTAAATAACCCATATCTAAAACCTAAAAAACATAAAAAAAAAAATTATAACAAAACCATTGCTTCATTCCCCTGGGTTGGAAAAAGCTCGACCTCGAGCATGTTGAATTCATATCTTTTAGAGGTCTTCTCATAAGTTGGTGATAAAGTCTTGCCATTCTCCTGGGTACCTTTCCTTATTCAATGAAATAATTGATCAAACACTTAATCTTGAGCTTGTGGTGGAACTCTAGAATACCCAACTTATTCTTGATTTCTCCTTCAATCTCAAATGGTGGTATTTCACGTACCGCAACTAGCGTATCTTCTTATTCATAATTTTCAACACCTTTTTCATTGAGATTTACCTCTTCATATTCATCTTCCTCCTATTGCAATCTACTAAGTTGATCTTGTAGACATTGCAATAGTACTCTGCCAAGGACTTCTATAAGTATCTAAAATTTTTGATTAAATCATTCAAATACTTGATCTACGAGCTCCATATATGGATCATTACTTGTTTGTGAAAGCCTCATGATTTATGGATCTCAAGGCTCTAATACGAAATGATGCAAAGAAAAGATAATAAATAGAAAATAAATAGTTGAGATAATATACACTCTCAGGGTCTGCAAAGGAGTCCACCCAAAGATCTCTTCACAATATCAAACAATTTTTTCACTCTCAGATTAACCAATTCTCAAAAGGGGACTTTCTTCCCTTTAAATACAAACTCAAGAAATAATAAAAAACCACAAAATAAACTCCCTCTCTCTCCCACTTATTTTTTCTTGCTCCTCCTCTCTCTCAATCTCATGCCATAATCTCAGCAAATAACCCTCCCTTCTAATCACATAGAAATCCTTTTAACTCTCCCATATCTCTACTCACTTGAATCCCCTAGATTTAGGAAGCCCCTACCTATCTCACGCACCACCCAATCCTCAACCTTTAACAAAATATATCCTAACTAACTCCCTTTGAAAACTTCCTATTCGACCCCTCAAATATCTACAACAACAAAATAGACAAAAATAACCCTAAAGAAAACTAAAACCCAAATATAAAATCTAGAAAATAAAATTAATAATTTAAAAAAAAAACAATTGTATCACTCTCTCTGCTCTCGCTCCTCTTTTCCTACCAGCACTCCCCTCCTCCTCCCTTCCTTTTGAATCTAGACTCCAATCCTTGATCCCATGTGGCTAAATGGAATTTATCAAGTTCCTAAACAGGATTAGTCATAAAAAGGGCTCCCCATTATTTTATCATCCTACTTCAATATCTGTGCAGGCATAAGATTACCCAGACAGAAAATAACTTTTGGAGTATTGGGTCTTCCTAATTATGTATTTTCACTCTCTAGAGGCTCTACATCAGAAAAATTAAAAAGAACTAGGTGTTTTCTCTCTCTAAAAGTTGAATAACAAGTAACAGAGAACTGTGTCATCACTTGTGAGGTTTAATGTCGTTATAATGCATGAGAGTTGTGCATTTTCTTTCTCTAGAGGTTGATCACCTGTGTTATTGACACTGCCATAATTCTACAAGAGCACCATTTCACCATGGAAATTGGCCACAATTTCTCTTTATACATTGAGAATCAATAAAAATAAATAAACTGTCTCTCTCAATACATGATTGCAGAATAGAGAATTACAATAAGTCAAGAACCCAATTCATAACTAACAGCCCATCATCAGGTAAAGGAAAAAAGACCATCCTGGGGTGATGGGGATAACAGCCATTGAAGGATAAGAACCTGTTTAAGAAACAAAGACCTGGGAGAGAGGGGCAAAAATACAAGTTAGACAATGTGTTTCATTGACAGAGAGATAGAGAGAGAGAGAGAGAGAGAGAGAGAGAGAGAGAGAGAGGAGGACATACTAGTACTAAATAAATAAAACCAACCTATTAGTAGTAGGGTAGGGGGTACGGGTTCGTACGACCTAACGTAAGTAAGGGTAAGGGGGTGGGGTCGA